AGCTCCTCGCAGAGCTGGATTGTCTTTTTGGCTCCATGCGCGGGTGCCCAATCTTGCTGAAGCGAGAACTAGTTTTCTACAAAATGTTATTATGCCCATGGATGCAAAACCCCCTCAGAATGTCATTTTTAGACTGCAGCATTAATTTTAACATTTCATCACTCCAGCTGCGACCAGGCGATAATAGAATCACGATTCTTTGCCATTATGTAAAATTTTTGCTTTATGAGATACATTGCTACAGCCAGGTACCTGTAGATTGCTGCTGTTGTCGGACGTTGTTGTTGTTGATGATGATGATTGTAGAGATGAAGTATGGAGTGATATGAAGTGACTAAAATCATTTACTTTTATAGTAAACAAATCCACTTGCAGACTGACGGAAATTGGCCTTAACCCTATCAACCAATAACAACCCGATGATTTTAGGGAACCCATAAGCTATAGCTTATTCGAAGGAACATCAAAAACTGTATCTAAAACCTTGGGACAATTTTGTTTACAACACTTTCTCAAAAGATAAAATAGACGGGAATATAGAATGTAGTTTTACTATGTGAGTCTTCAATGCGAAGTAACTTGATGAGGTTAGGGACCCTCCTCATAAGCTATAGCTTATTCGAAAGAGCATCAAAAACTGCATCTAAAACATAGAGAACATTTATATTCCGCCTGTTTCAATCTTCCTCATGCTCACTATTCGGTCTTTTTCAAAATTTCAGATTCACAGCTTTACTATAAAAGCTCTCATTTCCTCACTCCCCAAATCACTTTACTATAAAAGCCCTCATTTCCTCACTCCCCAAATCACTTTACTATAAAAGCCAACATTTCCTCACTCCCCAAATCATTTTACTATAAAAGCAGAGGCCGTGTGACAATCCCAAACAAACAAACAATTTCCTTCCATTCACAAATTATATATAGGATAATAAATTTATACAAATTTTGACAACATATTTTCAAAAATAATCTACATAAATTTTACTATAAATGTGATTCTGAAACTGAAACTCAAATTAAAAGTTTATTCAATAAAAAGAAAAATCCATTGTCTTGTTTCAGTTATTGAATTTAAAGCTCTAAAAAGAAAAATATAAAAGAAAAGAAAAATGAATTTATTTGAAATAAAACTAGAGAAAAGGTAAAGTAAGAATTTAATTTAAAAATTGAGAACATGAAAAAACGACAGTAAAGTTATATAATTTTATTAACTGAACAAATATTTAAAATAACTATTAGAAACTATGATTTATCTATATAAAATCCACCATTAGAGAATAATCGATTATCAGAAAATGGTCATATGTATAAATTTTCCATAAAGTTAAAAAACATTTATTAATTAAATATTGAAATATAAGTAAAATAACTTCACGATTTTTAGTTAAAATAAAATACGATTATCAAATCAAACAGGTTGAAATAAAAGAATATGTATTTGCGAAAACAATCTTTTAATATATCTTTTACAATTTCCTGTAGTTTCTCATAGATTACTAGAATATTTTCTGAAATATGAACTGCAGCAGAAATGGACGGACTCGTTAGTCAGACACCGATCAACACCACTAACATGGATATTTTATAAATAAATATAAAAACAATTTCCCTAAAAAAATATTGATAATTTATTAACAAATTTTTGTTAAAATTTACATTTAAATTCGGAAATTCTATTGTTTAATTTAAAATTTGAATTTAAATACCGTATTATCTCTATTAGAATGCCCCCTCCATTTGAATGCCCCCCTCTAATAGAATGCCCCCCCTTTTTTACTGAAATTTTTCTAAAAAAAAATATTACTATTTTATTTAAAACGTTTACTACATATTCACTTTTAATTATTTTTCTTGCCATTTTTTTAACTATTATTTAAACAACATGAAAATTATTTTTAATTCTTATCTTCTTCGAATCTTTCAGGTATTTTAGTGAAATGACTGATTCAGACGTTGATGTATTAAATATAAGTGTTTCTGATAATGAGCCTGGTCCAAGTAAACCTAAAAAATGTCGACGTTCCTATTCATTAAAATTAAAACTTGATGCAATTGAATTTTCTAAGTATAATTCAATACATTCAGCAAGTCGAAAATTTGGAGTTCTAAGAGGTTCATTGCGGAATTGGATCATTATAATAAGTCACTTATTTTCCCTAAAATTTCAATTTATATTTTTAGTGAGGCAACATCAAATTCTAATTCAAAAAAGCGTTTGTCTGGTGCTGGCATCATATTTTTAACAAAAATTTAGATGAAAAACTAATTGAATAGATTCGATGTCGTCGTCAAGAAAAACAAAGAGTTTCATGACGCTTAGTACAACAACAATTTGTCAGAAGAGATGATAGCAAATTCTTTTAAAATTTGTGGAATCTTGAACAATGTTGATGGTTCAGAACAGACGTGGGCGAAACGTTTCGTTTCGTTTCGTTGTTTCGTTAGTTTCGTTATGTTTTTTACTGTTTCATTTCGTTTCGTGACGAAACAGTTTTTAATTTGTTTCGTTTCGTTTTGTTAACGAAACACCCGTGTTTCTTTAACGAAATATTACGTATTTTTAAGCCAAAATATTACCCAAAACTGAAAAAATTTCACCTTTGGCCTTCCAAAATCCGCAAAATTTTCGCCTGCGGCGCTGAAAAGGGAAGAAATTTGGCTTCCTTGCCTTCCAATATTCTCAAAAATTTCGCCTGTGGCGCTGAAAATGAAAAATCTGGTTTCTTGGCCTTCCAAATTTCTCCCTTAATCTACATAAATTAAGGGGGAAACATAAATAAACGAAGGTTTCTTGGCCCACTTAATCTACATAAATCCCCGAAATATTTAAATAATATTATTTTATATTTTAACAAAAATACTGGGATTTGGATGAAGATCCACATCATTACTGCCAACAAATGGCCAATACCCACCACTGACAATTGCTAATACCTTCCAAATTTCTCCCTTAACCCAGCATACTCGAGTTAGTTTTTTTCCCAATTACTCGGTACTCGACGTACTCTAGTATTAATAGAAAAATCGACTGGCCCTCTCTCTTTTTGGCCCTCTAAAATTCTTAAAAAAATTTCCTTTGACTACTAAGAAGTGAATTGTTTCGCCTAAGACCTTCAGATTTCTAAAATTTTCGCCTGCGGCGCTAAAAAAAGAAGAAATTTGGATTCATAAATTATTGCACATGACGCTTTAAATTTAAACTATATATCATGGACTCCAAAAATCATATTATCAGAATTAGATGAGATTAAGGGAAAAATTGGCGTTTGAACAGATTGGGCCCACAACAAATGGCTAATGGGACCACAATTTGTGGTCCCACATAATTATATGATAACATATATGTCACTAGTGGCCCACTAGTGGCCCATTAATTCACTAGTGGCCCATTTTTAATTTTAATGAATAGGAACGTCGACATTTTTTAGGTTTACTTGGACCAGGCTCATTATCAGAAACACTTATATTTAATACATCAACGTCTGAATCAGTCATTTCACTAAAATACCTGAAAGATTCGAAGAAGATAAGAATTAAAAATAATTTTCATGTTGTTTAAATAATAGTTTAAAAAATGGCAAGAAAAATAATTAAAAGTGAATATGTAGTAAACGTTTTAAATAAAATAGTAATATTTTTTTAGAAAAATTTCAGTAAAAAAGGGGGGGGCATTCTATTAGAGGGGGGCATTCAAATGGAGGGGGGCATTCTAATAGAGATAATACGGTATTTAAATTCAAATTTTAAATTAAACAATAGAATTTCCGAATTTAAATGTAAATTTTAACAAAAATTTGTTAATAAATTATCAATATTTTTTTAGGGAAATTGTTTTTATATTTATTTATAAAATATCCATGTTAGTGAGGTTGATCGGTGTCTGACTAACGAGTCCGTCCATTTCTGCTGCAGTTCATATTTCAGAAAATATTCTAGTAATCTATGAGAAACTACAGGAAATTGTAAAAGATATATTAAAAGATTGTTTTCGCAAATACATATTCTTTTATTTCAACCTGTTTGATTTGATAATCGTATTTTATTTTAACTAAAAATCGTGAAGTTATTTTACTTATATTTCAATATTTAATTAATAAATGTTTTTTAACTTTATGGAAAATTTATACATATGACCATTTTCTGATAATCGATTATTCTCTAATGGTGGATTTTATATAGATAAATCATAGTTTCTAATAGTTATTTTAAATATTTGTTCAGTTAATAAAATTATATAACTTTACTGTCGTTTTTTCATGTTCTCAATTTTTAAATTAAATTCTTACTTTACCTTTTCTCTAGTTTTATTTCAAATAAATTCATTTTTCTTTTCTTTTATATTTTTCTTTTTAGAGCTTTAAATTCAATAACTGAAACAAGACAATGGATTTTTCTTTTTATTGAATAAACTTTTAATTTGAGTTTCAGTTTCAGAATCACATTTATAGTAAAATTTATGTAGATTATTTTTGAAAATATGTTGTCAAAATTTGTATAAATTTATTATCCTATATATAATTTGTGAATGGAAGGAAATTGTTTGTTTGTTTGGGATTGTCACACGGCCTCTGCTTTTATAGTAAAATGATTTGGGGAGTGAGGAAATGTTGGCTTTTATAGTAAAGTGATTTGGGGAGTGAGGAAATGAGGGCTTTTATAGTAAAGTGATTTGGGGAGTGAGGAAATGAGAGCTTTTATAGTAAAGCTGTGAATCTGAAATTTTGAAAAAGACCGAATAGTGAGCATGAGGAAGATTGAAACAGGCGGAATATAAATGTTCTCTATGTTTTAGATGCAGTTTTTGATGCTCTTTCGAATAAGCTATAGCTTATGAGGAGGGTCCCTAACCTCATCAAGTTACTTCGCATTGAAGACTCACATAGTAAAACTACATTCTATATTCCCGTCTATTTTATCTTTTGAGAAAGTGTTGTAAACAAAATTGTCCCAAGGTTTTAGATACAGTTTTTGATGTTCCTTCGAATAAGCTATAGCTTATGGGTTCCCTAAAATCATCGGGTTGTTATTGGTTGATAGGGTTAAGGCCAATTTCCGTCAGTCTGCAAGTGGATTTGTTTACTATAAAAGTAAATGATTTTAGTCACTTCATATCACTCCATACTTCATCTCTACAATCATCATCATCAACAACAACAACGTCCGACAACAGCAGCAATCTACAGGTACCTGGCTGTAGCAATGTATTAGATTTAGATTTAGATATAGAACATAGAAATAGTTTTAGTTATAGATTAAAGTCATCTGTTAAAGAGAGGAAGAAAAAGCAATTAGATAGTGAAACAGTAGAGCAAAGAAGAGTTAGACTTGAAAAGCAAAGAGTTAGAAATAGAAAAAGAGTAGTCCAGGCTAGAAATAATATATTAGAATCGGAGGAATCGGAACGTGAAGTTAGACTTAGAACTCAAAGAGAGAGAAATAGATATAGAATTGAAAATGAAACCGAATTAGAAAGAGAAAATAGACTTGAAAAGCAAAGAGAAAGTAATAGAAAAAAAATAGCAAATGAATCAGAAATAGTTCGTGAAAATAGACTTGCAACTCAAAGAGCGAAAAATAGGATTAGATTTGAGAATGAAACAGAACTGGAAAGAGAAATTAGACTTGATTTGCAAAGAGAGAGAAATAGAAAGAGATATGCAAGCGAATCAGAAGTAGAACGAGACAATAGATTGCTGATAAACGAAATAGAATTAACAATGAAACAGAAATAGAAAGAGAAAATAGGCTTGAATATTTTAAAGCGAATAAAATTAGAAATAGACAAAGCGTCATACAGTCATATGCGGCTGGCGAATGTAGTAATGTTATTAGTCATAGACTCGGACGGATGGATGTTGAATGTACCTATTGTGGTGCACTGCATTTTCCAGAAGAGAAGATTAGTAATAAGGGTAGTACGTTTAAGGACTGTTGCCATTATGGCAAGGTTCATTTAACAATGCTACCAGAAGATGAGTTTCCAGATTTGTTGAAGAATTTGTTTCTGAGACTAGATGCAAGACATAAGAACTTTTTTGATTGTATTAGAAATTTGAATAGTAGCGTTTCCATGGCTTCCATGAATCCGCTAAGATATAGATATCCAAGTAATAGAGGCCCATACTGCTTTCGCATATGTGGTCAGATTTATCATAGAATGAATATAGCTTTGAATCCTGATCCTGAAGATGAGCCTGCTTATGGGCAAGTCTTTATTGTAGATACAGTGCAAGCTATTAGTACATTGCATAGAGCCAACCCGGTCATAGACCAACGGTTGTTAGTTGATGTATATGAATTGATAAAAGAAATTAGTCCTTTTGCACAAGCTTTTAGAATGATGAAAGATGAAGAGGATGAAGAATTAGAAAGAGCTATAAGAGAAAATAGGTCTCCGGTGGAGATAAGTTTGTTATTTGATACAAAAAGTAAATTAGACAAAAAATTAGGGTACAATGTACCAAAAGCAAATGAAGTAGCAGCAGTTTATGTTACAGGAGCTGATGGCGAAGTGCCTGATGCTAAGATTGTTGTTAGAGAGCGAGGAAAAGAGTTGAGAATTTTGAATAGTACAAATGAAATGGTCAGCCCTATGACGTACCCGTTGTTTTTTCCACGTGGTACCTTGGGTTGGCATCCAGATATTAGACAAGATAACAGTACTAGAAGAGTAACAAGACTTCAGTATGTAAGTTATAGTATTGGTATTAGGAAAGAGTTTAACCCCATTTTATTTGGATGAAAACTTTTTCAACAGTATTGTGTTGATGAATGGGTAAAGATTGAAGGAGATAGAATGAGATGGATTAGAAGTAATCAGAAAACAATTTTTGCTGATGCTTACAAGAATGTTGATAGTTTCTTAGAAAGAAGAGCGAGAGAATCTGGGAGACCGTTGGGGCGGAAGGTAATTTTGCCTCCATCGGTTACCAATTCGCTTAGATATATAGAAAAGCACTTCCAGGATGCAATGGCATTAGTGCGACGGTTTGGGAAACCAGATTTGTTCGTGACTATGACTTGCAATCCACAATGGGAAGAGATAGTAGAGAATTTGTATCAAGGACAAGTTTCAGCAGATAGACCAGATTTAGTGGATAGAGTATTCTATCTAAAAGTAAAAGCTCTAATGACTGATATAACAAAGACTAAGATTTTTGGCAGAGAACTTTGTTGGATGTATCCGATAGAGAACCAAGGTCGGGGACTACCACACATCCATTTGCTTTTGACTATGTTTGATATTGATAAGGTTACTAGCTCTGAAGATGTTGAAAAGCGTGGAATTAGTGCTAGAATACCAGATAAAGATATTGACAAAGATTTGTTTGATTTAGTTAAAAAGTTTATGATCCATGGACCATGTGGTGATTTGAACCCAAATTGCCTATGCATGGAAGAGAAGGAAGTAGATGGAAAAAAGATTAGAATTTGTTCAAAAGGGTATCCAAAACCTTTTCAAGAAGAGACAGTAGTATTAGAAAATGGCCAAGCATTGTATGCGAGACCTAGAGATAAAAAAATAGTTGAAGTTTTTGTTTCAGGAAAAAGATTTGAATTAGATAATAGATGGGTTGTTCCACATAACCCTTATTTGTTAAAGAAGTTTAGATGCCACATTAATGTGGAAAAAGTTAATAGTGTCACCTCAGTTAAGTATTTGCATAAGTATGTGCACAAATTACCAGATAGAGCTACGATGAATTTTGAAGAGAAAACAGATCATGATGAGATTAAAGAGTATATAGACGCACGGTATGTCTGTCCTCAGGAGGCCGTGTGGAGAATATTAGAAAACCAACATATGATAGATGTCATAGCATTACAACCTTACCCGTCCATTTGGATGGTGAGCACGTATGCTATTTTGATGAGAATATGACTGAGGATGAGATAAGAGAGAAAATAGAAAATGATTCTGAGTTATTAGCATATTTTGATTTGAATAAGAATAATGATTTAGCACGGAATCTCTTTTATCATGAGATTCCGGAAAAGTTTGTGTTTAGTAAAGGAAAATGGAATAATAGAAAAAAGCATTTTAGTACAATCGGTCGGATGGTTAAGGTTTCACCAGCTGAAACTGAACGCTATCATTTACGACTGTTGTTGTTGAATGTGAAAGGAGCTATAAGTTATGATGATATTAGAATTGTAAAGAGTCTAGATTTGAATACAGAGACCAGATATGCAACCTTTGCGGAAGCATGTTTAGCACTTGGTTTGATTAGAGATGATGAAGAATGGAAAAAAGAATTAGAAGAGGCGAATAGTTTCGAAATGCCTTGGAAAATGAGAGAGTTGTTTGCCTTGATTTTAGTACACTGTAATCCAGCTAAGCCTGACGAACTTTGGAGTTTGTTTAAGAATGATTTGGCAGAAGATTTTGCAAAGAAACATAGTATTGAAATAGCATATAGAAAAGCTTATTTTGACATAGCAAAAAGAATTGTCGAAGCAGGAAAATCACTGACCGATTTTCCTACAATGGAACAGATTGACGATTTTGATTTAGATATTGAATTACAATTTGATATTGCTGAAGAATTAGACATAGGTCGTAGTAACTATGAGTTATTAAACGATGAGCAAAGACAAATAGTAGATGAGATTATGAATAGGATCTCCAATCCAGATAGGAAAGTAGCATTCTATTTTCTCAGTGGACCTGGAGGATCAGGAAAGACATTTGTTATCAGTACATTAGTTCACTTGATTAGAGGAATGAAAAAGAAAGTTAGACTATGGCCTTTACTGGGATTGCGGCAAAGCTCTTACCAGGAGGTAGAACTATGCATAATAGATTTGGTTTGAATTTAGATATGAGCTTTTCTAAAATAGGTCCGAGCTCAAAAGCTTGGAAAGAACTGGAGAATATAGATATGTTTATTTGTGATGAGGCTCCAATGATTCACAAAAGAGCATTATCAACTATAGATTTGAAATAGAAAGAGATTATGAAGAGTAATATAGATTTTGGTGGCAAAATTATGCTGATGGCAGGTGATTTTCGCCAGACTTTGCCTATCCAAAAGCATGTCACAAGAGCAGAGATATGCAATCTGACTGTGAAAAGAAGTAGATTTTGGAAAAATGCAAAGAAGTATAAATTGTCAAAGAATATGAGAGCTTTAGATTCAGAAATATATTTTGCTAAAGAGTTATTAGAAATAGGTTCTGGCATCAGGAACAATGAGATAGATGAAATAGTATTACTAATGGATTGTATTAGTAAAGGTGATTTAGTGGATGAGATTTTTGGTTATGTTATAAAGAATAAGAATTGGGATGAGATGGCCAACATGGCTATTGTTGCGCCGAAGAATGTAGATGTAAAAGAATTGAATAATAGAGTTTTGAATATGCTCCCAGAAGATGAGATTTTGTATACAAGTATAGACAAAGCTGAGAATGAAGATAAGCAAGTGTTAGATGAGTATTTAGATGAGTTTTTATACTCATTAAGTCACAATGGTATTCCATTGCATGAGTTAAAGTTAAAGAAAAATGCTATAGTAATGTTGATTAGAAATTTGAACATAGAACAAGGACTTTGTAACGGAACTAGAATGTTAGTGCAAGAATTGAGAACAAACTTAATAGATTGTAGACTTTTGACTGGAGATAGAGTTGGTCAATTGGTTTATATCCCACGCATCACTCTGTGTTGCGATGGTGAGTATCCTTTTGATTTGCATAGGCACCAATTTCCATTGGTGTTAGCTTTTGCTATGACCGTAAATAAAGCACAAGGGCAGACCTTAGAAAAATTAGGAATAGATTTAAGTAAAGATGTGTTTAGTCATGGACAATTGTATGTGGCCCTTTCAAGGGTTAGATCTTGGCAAGCTTTGAGTATTAGGTTATTATCAAATAATAACGAAAGAAAAGTGAAAAATGTTGTGTTTAAAGAGATTTTAGATGAAAATGATTAGATTTAGTAAAATAGATATTAGTAATTGATCGAAAGTTATAGATCCTAAATGGAGAGAATGAGTTTCTTAGTATGCTAGAAAATAGCCTTTTTATATGCAAGATTTGATATGCTTATTTTTTTTTGTATTATCCCATTTTAATTATATTACCCTATTCACCTACTCACAAACTCACCCAATTTTGATATTTATATGTATTGTATGATTTATTTTATTGTGAATAAAATGTTTTTAATTTGTTTGTCATTTTTTTATTTTAGGGGTAATTTTAGTTAGGTTTGACAATCAAACGGAAAGGGAAAGTTCATTAGATATGTGATGTACCAGTTTTGTTTGTTTTATTCAAGGTTTTTGTAAATGTTTTGACTAGCGAAGGAGCTCGCCCGAAGGGCGAGCCCCTTCGCTAGTATATTCTAAAAGTATATTTCCGGTCATTGTTTAAAATGAATTTATTAAGACCAAATTTATTTTTTTATTCGCCTTTGCGAATTTTTCTAAAAAATCATCTATTTGTTTTTGTTAAAAAATATTTTGTAATAATATATTTTATTTGTTAATATATTATATTTGTTATAAAAACGTTTAATTTTCTATCCTATAAACTGTCTACAAAATAAACAACGTTATGTCAAAAGTATATATCAAATTCAAAAAGCTGTCAAATTAGCATAAACTTCAAAATATCTACTGCAAAAAAATAAATCTATTAAGTAATTGTCTAACATTAGAAGTATTTATTTGGATAAAGAAATAATGAATTATTAATTGATTGATTAAAATAATAATTATTTATATAATTCTATGGATTCACATTAATATAATAAAATTAATATTATCAAAGTATAAAACAAAGCTAATTTATTTTTATCTAATAAAG